CGCAGGCCGTGGCTTTTCGTTAGAAGGGGATGTGGTGTTGTGTGCAGATGATGTAAAAGAATATTTGCTATCAGAAAAACGGTGATGACATTTGAACCACCAAGATCGCTGATGCACCAACACCTTCCTGAGTGCGTGCCCAGACACAGGCCGCCCGGCACTGCGGCGACACCTCATTCGTAGTGTCCCTCTTTGCTTCCCAGGGCAGGACATCCAGCCCAAACGAGACCTCACACGCTTCGTCAAATGGCCCCGATACATTCGGCTGCAGCGGCAAAGGGCCATCCTCTATAAGCGGCTTAAAGTTCCTCCTGCCATTAACCAGTTCACCCAGGCCCTGGACCGGCAAACAGGTGAGGTTCTGTGTCACAGGGCCAGTTTCGTGTTTCGAGAGAATGAAACTAGTCCTGAGCTTTCCTTTTTTTTTTCTAACAGTGCGTCATCATTTTAAAATGTTCATAATGGGGAGAGTTGAATGGGATCCCCAGTCACTCTACCTGGAACAACCAGCAAGCTTAAAGCTCAGTAGGGTGGGGAAAGATGGCTCACGTTGACCCCTAGCCTGATCTGCACATGCCACACAAGGGTAGTTTTTGTGTGTGTAGTCCTGGTTGTTCTGGAGCTCTGGGCTTGATCCAGGTGGGCTTTGGACCTGCTTCGGAAGTGCCAGGACTAAAGGCATATGCCACAAGGGTGGTTTGTATGTTTTGTTTGGTTTTTCAAGACAGGGTTTCTCTGTGGTTTTGGAGGCTGTCCTGGAAATAGCTCTTGTAGACCAGGCTGGTCTCAAACTAACAGAGTTCCGCCTTTCCACTTGCCTCTGCCTCCCAAGTGCTGGATTAAAGGCATGTGCAACCACCGCCCGGCACAAGGGTTTTTTTTTTAACTTTTCTAAAATTTGTTCTGTTAAAGTTTTCAGAGAACCTCCACACAGGCTTGTAATGCCTCTTAAGTGATAAACGTTACATACAATTAATTGGGCCTGAGCATGAGATTGCCTGCAAAGTAACCACAGCCCACAGGAAGCTACATAGCAGACCTAAAGAAAAACTTCGAGTCTAGAGTCTAACTGAAGAATGTTTTTCCCAGCTACCCAGCTGCTCAAGCTTGCCCACAAGTACAGGCCAGAGACAAAGCAGGAGAAGAAGCAAAGACTGTTGGCCCGTGCTGAGAAGAAGGCTGCTGGCAAAGGGGATGTCCCAACTAAGAGGCCACCTGTTCTTCGAGCAGGTAAGTGGCCCCCTGGGGAAAGAAAGGGGGTAGCGGGCTGTGCAATGATGTGTGAATTTCTTCACCTGAAATCACTGTGAAGAGTGAAATCGAGCTTTTTAACCCTGAGTCACAGCTTGGTGGAGCTGCTTTTTTGTGACTGTGGCAGCCTGAGCACTCAGGCAAAGTGGTTGTGTGTTCCAGGAGTCAACACAGTCACCACCTTGGTGGAGAACAAGAAGGCTCAGCTGGTGGTAATCGCCCACGATGTAGACCCCATTGAGGTAGGTCTGGTTTTAAGCATCAAGCACAGAACCCAGGTCCTGTGTTGTTGCTTCTGGAAGGGTGGAGTCAGTTTTGCTGAATGAACAAAAGGGATCTGTTTGTGTGGCTCTTGCAATGATGTAAATCTTTGACTGAAGTAGCTTTGATGTGCAATTACATGAGCTTTTTAACCCTGAGCATTTGCCACAAAGTAGCACTGTAGCTGCTGCTGCTGTTCCTCCAAACATCTACCTACAGCTCATGCTTGCTTCTAGCTGGTAGTCTTCCTGCCTGCCCTGTGTCGGAAGATGGGGGTCCCCTACTGCATCATCAAGGGAAAAGCCAGGCTGGGACGACTGGTCCACAGGAAAACATGTACCACCGTTGCCTTCACACAGGTTAACTCGTGAGTATTCAGGCTTGTCCCTAAGCTTCTCTTATCCTCCCAGGTTTGGGACCATTTGCCAATGATGGTTAAGAATTTCTTCACCTGAATCAGCTGTGTGGTCATACTGTGTCTGAGGCTAAAAAAAAAAGCTTGTATTAGGAAAAATTATTGCTGCTCCCCAAGAGTTTAATAAGGTTTTCCCCTTCCTTGACAGGGAAGACAAGGGTGCTTTGGCTAAGCTGGTGGAAGCTATTAGGACCAATTACAACGACAGATATGATGAGGTGAGCAGCTCTATACAGAATATGGGATGGGTTGGTGCTTTAAACAATTGCTCAGGCCAAACTGACAGCTGTTTCTGTCATTTCAGATCCGACGCCACTGGGGAGGCAATGTCCTGGGTCCTAAATCTGTGGCTCGAATTGCCAAGCTGGAAAAGGCAAAGGCTAAAGAACTCGCTACTAAACTGGGTTAAATGTACACTCACTGCTAAGTTTTCTGTACATAAATACAAACTTATCTTCCATCTAATGGTCTTGGGTTATTTTGGTTGTTGTAAACTTGTTTTTAGAACTAATGCCCGCCTATATAAAATGTTGCAAGGTCAAGTCAGAATTTTAAAAAATAACAATGTTTATTTTGTGTGATCTCTAGGTTAGATCAGGTTCCTAAGCATCATAGACCTGGTGTCCGCCTCACAAATTTTTGAAACCATAAGTACGATGTGGCTGCACACAGTCCATACCTGCGATTGAAAGAAATTTGGTTGTCTGGCCTTTGAGTGATGGGTGGGGCCATATATGACAAGAGACAGTAGTACTAACCAGGTAATGATGTACTGCATGTGCTCGTTCCGAAGAGTGACTCTTGTTTGCCCTCCAATGGGTCCTCCAGGGATTGTACTTTCTGTAGAAACAGCAGGGCTTAATATCCACCTCTGGAAGGGATTCTCAGCCCTGTCAGGGCCCTACTAAAACCCTCAAGATGTTTCCTTCTGTCCCCATACCAAAGTGCAGAATGAACCAGCCAGGGAAGGAAATGGAGGTAGGACAGTGCTTGCTCTCCCAGGGCAAGCTGCCACAACATACGGAAGTCTGCATCAATGAAAATGGGGTCTGCGCCTGTTATCTTGGCCATAGCCTCCAGGTCCCGGTAATGCCAGTGATTCTGTTGTGGGCTGTTCTCAGGAACAAAGGGCTTCCTGGTTTCTGTCAGCCTCACTATGCCAACTAGGTCTACTTCTCCGAGAACCTGCAAAGGAAGGTGGGACTGCTTTTTAAAGGGGTTCTATATGGAGAACAGGTGACTTAGTGTAATCTCCTAGGCTGAAGAGCTCCCATCTCTCACCTGGCCTTTCTGTCTGGTCTCAGGATTCACTTTCTTCTTCGGAACAAACCCTCTGTTAACCAGGATGGTGATTCTGAAGCAATAATAAAAGTGTTCCTTTGGGTGAGGAAGGGTTTCAGTACAAATCATCACTAATAGTCACTGTAGCCAGTTCAACAACTGGCTAAGAAAGTTGCCTGATGTCAGAATTAGAGATCTTGGAAATTATCATGCAGTATTAGTTGGATCTCATGGATTCCCCAAGGTCTAAAGGTTGGTTGAGCACAGCAAGGGAAGCTGTCAGATCAGCCATGGCCTACTCACCCCAAGTCAGAGCAATGGAAAGGAGTAACTACATAGGCTCCACTTTCCATCGAGGAGGAGATTCTGCCAGCATCTTGGGCCTCTCGGGCAGGGTCCACCATGGTCCGAGGCATAATGTACAGCTCTTTAGAGTGGTCAAAGTGCCCCCTGACCTTCACTGGCCTGTACTCCATACTTTTCAGTTCCATTAGGCTACAATGAGAAGAGGGGAAGGAAGGGCTATGGGCAAGTTACCAAGACCATCAGACAGAAAGGGTATAAGAAAGGCCCAGTGAGGATCATCAGTTTATAAGGGTGATCTCAACACCAGCCTTTGATGCCACCAAAACCCAGCTTTTCAAAGGAAGTGTTTCCACTTTACATAAATTAACAAAATGTGAGTCCAAACCACATATTACCTATCCTGTGGTTTGGACTCTCTTTAGAGGACACTTTTGTCACCTTCATATTGAGACCTATATTATCACCCACCGGTGCTACAAAGAACTATCACCACTATGGGGGATCCAGCAAGACCTGGAAAGGGAAATCTGGCATCAAATACACATCTTTCCTATATTGTTCCACGCTCTTTGGCAGCTTCATAAAGGCAATCAGCAGCCAGCCTAGTGGGAAATTTTGAGGATTCCTGCCCAAGGGCAGAGAAATTACTGAGAAGACAGAACCAAACAGAAGCCAGGGACCCACTGCTGCTACTAAATAGGATGGAATGGGTAGGCAGCCACACTCACTCTGCAGGCAGAGGGATGGGCTCAGCCATGACTCGAGACTCTAATTCTGCAATCAGTTTCAGCTTCCATTTCCGACGCTGGACCTACAGAAACAACGTGAGCTAAGCAAACAACAATGGGGCCCAAGGCCCAGCAACACCCAAATTAGAGGCCAGTCTTCACCTGCCAAGTCCCCAAGCCAAAAGCAGTAGCAGGGATGAGAAGCAGGAACCACTGGAGAAAAGAGCTGTCCTCTGCTTTAGTGGCGGCTGCTTCAGCTGTAGAACTGCTTGGCCTCCAGACCATCCCTGGAGAGAGTTTTACAATACTGGCATGGGGTCAGAAGCCCTAGAACTGTGTGGCCAACTCCTCGACAAGACTTAGGGTATGCCCGCAGAGGATGTAGGAAGGACAATTGTGCCCAATCCGCTCCCACTACAATACACCCAGTAGACCACAGCGGGCTGAATGAAGGCAGGTGTCCCAACCGCACCCAGGTCTGAGCCCTTCTCACCTGAGCGGAAAGAAAATCCAAGGACGCTCCCTCTGGCAACTCGGAGCGGGGCCTACAGGAACCCAACAGGGCACGGGGCTAAGTAAGCTCAGGGACGCCAAAGCGAGCACCTGACGCTGTCCAACCCAGTCCCGCTCGACCCCAGGCAAATCTTTTTGGGCAAGGTCCTCCTCGACCCCATTCCATTCTCAGCTCGATTCTCCCGGCCCCTCTTGGGCAGGGTCCTCCTGGGTCCCGTGCTCACCAGCCCCGCGTAGGACGATTGGGGCCACCGCATCATCCGCTGCCGCAGCACAGCGAAAGCCATCACCGCGGCCATCTTTGAACACTTCCGGGACAGAGAAATCTGCTTCCGGGACGGCGCTCTGCCCCACGTGGGAGCAGCGGCGTCTGATGGGTGTTTCACATCATGGACGAACCATCTCCTGATGTGCGAGCTTTCCTGCGCCAGCACCCCAGCCTGAGGCTTCTGCCCAACACTCACAAGGTCCGGGGAGGAGTAGGGACTAGAAAGAACGGAACTCGGGAGGAGTGAGACCCGGAAGGACCGTTTCGGGGAGGAGTGGGACCCGGGAGTAGAAAGCAGTGGGACCCGGAGGACAGTGCAGGGGAGGGGCGGGGCTGGCAAGAACCACCTGCTGACAGGGCTCCATCTACAGGTGCGCTGCTCCCTAACTGGCCATGAGCTACCCTGCCGTCTGCCAGAGCTTCAGGTCTACACCCGCGGCAAGAAGTACCAGCGGCTGTCCAGAGCCTCCTCGGCCTTCGTTTACACAGCGTTCGAGCCACACATCGTGCCCAGCACAAAGAATCCGTACGTAGGTGGCCGGCCAGCACCAGGGTGCAGAGCCTGTGCCCCGGTTCTGAGCATATAATGGTCTTCCACTGCCACTTGCCCTTGCATATAGTCACCCGAGGCCACAGTGCCGCTTTCACCGTTTGGTATTCCTATGGTTGTGTGGTTGATATATCCTCACATGGAACTCCCTGAGCCGGTTCCCCATACACGAACACTGGAGCAGTGTGAAACTGCAGTTTCTTTTTCTTGGGTGGGTGACAATCTGGGTCCTTATCCCATACGCTAATTGTGAAGCTGTTTTTGAAAGTAAGCCTTTGTAGCTTGGTTGGCCTGGAATTTGCTGTGTAAACCAGGCTGACCTCAACTCAGAGATCAACCTGCCTCTCTGCCTCCTGGATACTGGGATTATAAGCAGGCTACTATGCCCTGTGGTTGGGGAGTTTTTCAAAGTGCAGACACCTGAGACTAAATGCAGAGCATCCCCCGCAGAAAGGCAGGTGTTTGCAGCTTGCAGTCATGATGGAGCCCATAGGTCTGGTCCTTTGTATACACTGCCTCTCCGTATCATCTGTTTGCCCTGTAGGCACCAACTGTTCTGCAAACTCACCCTGAGGCACATCAACAAGTTTCCAGAGCATGTGCTGAGGCACACCCAAGGCCGGAGGTATCAGAGAGCACTTCATCAATGTAAGTCACCACCAGAGGCTCAGGCTTTAGGATGTATGTCCCCTGTCCCCAAAAGCCAGAAAGATGCCTTGATCGTCCTTCATTGTCCATTGTTGGTATACTTGGTTGGTTTTGCACATGAGGAGAGGGCCAGTGGCTCCTGACCTCACCACTGTAAAGCCACAAGTGGGCTGGGAAGGAGTTGTGGTGAGTGGTTTGGGACCTGTTGTTGCATAGCAGGAACAATCTCTGGGTGGCTCTCAAGCTGAGGCTGCAGAGCTAGAACTCCAAAGCAGGTCCAGAGTCATCTGACACTGCAGGAGAGCTTTGGGACTGTTATCAGGACCTAGAGGACAAACAGTCCTCTAGGCTGCAGAGGATGAGGGGACTAGCAGCTAAAGGGGTGATGGCTTGAGCAGGGAAGAGGATCTGATGGCCTCAGGTGTTTGATGGATAGGCCAAGGGTAGGAAGGCATCAGTGGGGACTCCTAACTTCCAGGTGGGCTAGGGAGGATGGAGGCCAGCTTTAGCATGAGGGAGGTGAATGAAGGTCACCCATGTCACCATAGGAAGATGAGGGTAAGAAAGTGACTGAGATTAGGTAACTTGGAGGCTACTGGGATGAAGGAGTTAGGCAGAAACAGGCCTTGGCAAGGAGGACTTGGGGGGGGGGTGTTGCAGAGGCTGGGGATGAGAGGGAGGCACTACCTCTGTCCAACCCAATGGGCAAGAATTCAGAGGTTGGTAAGGAATGTGCAGGCTATATCCTGCACAGCACAGCCATACCCTCCCATACACCTTGCAGCTCCTGGAGCTGGCATCTGGGCTGCACTGACAGATGGCAGTTAAGGCTTGGATATGCCTTTGTTAGCTTTGTCATTTGCCGGGTTGTAGCAGGGAGACTACTTCAGGTTGGCCTGCTGAGGACCAGACCTTGTGCTGAGTACTCATGAGGAGGCCACAGTGGTCCTGGGAGCAGATGGCAGAGATAAAGTGGAGAAAAGGTTTCAGAGATGCCAGGTCCTGGTTAGACTGTCACCCCAAGAGCAATAATGGCTAGAGCTGGTGTCCCCCACCCAAAGAGATGGTGCTGGACCAAGTGGGAAGCCCAAGAAGCTCAGACCTGAAGACAGCAGTGGTGACCCTAGCAAGGCCTTCCATGAAGTCTCATTCCAGCTCCAAGTTCAAGAGATGGGAGACCAGACAGCTTCCCTGAGCTCCATAGCCTCCAAATTGCCCATTTTTGTCCAGTGGGGCAAAGGAACAGAACCCGGCCACAATATAGGCCCTATCTTAGCTCCGCACCAAGAGGGCAGCACGTAAACTTGCTCATCTCTTAGATGAGGAGTGTCAGAAACAAGGTGTGGAGTATGTCCCTGCCTGCCTACTGCACAAGAAGAGGAAGAGGGAGGACCACATGGACGGAGATGGGCTATCTGGCCAGAGAACAGCTTTCTGGGAGCCAGCTTCCAGTGATGAAGGAGGATCCTTGAGCGATGACAGCATGACAGACCTATACCCACGTAAGTAGGCACAGCCTGACTCCTGCCTTCATGTTTGTCTCTTGCTTAGTATCTTGTGGTCCTGCTTTGTTAGCCATGTTTCCCAGGGAAGCAGTGCTTTTACCTGTGGCATAGCTCAGCCAGGATGTCTGTTCCTTCCAGCTGAGCTATTCACAGAAAAAGATATGGACAAGTCTGAGAATGATACTCCTCAAGACTTTCTGACAGACCAAGAGGAAGAGAAGCCAAAGCAGTCAAGAGAGAAGGGCACTGGGGAGAGAAGAGAGACCAAAATGGACCACAAGAGGCGCTGTAAACTCAGGAAGGTTAGTAGCATGCCACCAAGTGCTGAGGTCAGGAGGGCTGCATGGCCCAGGCTGAGTGCACAGCTACTGCTCCCCATGGTTTTAGCAAATTCTGCAAGTGCACTGTCAGGTAACGGCCTATAAATATGGAAGCCAAGGCCACTTCAGGTCTCCAGGATCAGGTCCTGACCAAGAGCTTCTCAGCTCTGAGCTGGGTCCCATAGAACACAGGATTCAGGAGTGGGGATTCTGCCAGAGGAGCAGGATGGACAGTCTGTAGGGAACCGTGCTGCCCTCTCCCTGACCCCATACTGCCTCCTCCTCAGCCTTAGACACATAGCACCTTCCCTGTGGACTTGGAAAGGCCCTGGTCACTTTTCTACTTTCACAGAAGGAGTTCACCTCATTGACCAAGAAATTCAAGAGCCATCATCACCACAAGCCCAAGAACTTCAGTTCCTTTAAACAGCTGGGGAAATGAAGTATGCAGAGAAACTTGGAACTGACCACTGATATCCTGACATTGGCTGTTTGTTGCCCAGAGTGGGCATGGAGGTTGTGTTCAGAAGATGGCAACAGCAGGGAATTGAAGATTCCTCTCTGTGCATGGTCTGCTGTGGCCCTTGCTGATGTAGCATCCTGAGCTTGGCCAGGCCCCCACCCTGGCTGGTCACCACATAGGCTCACAGTATATACCACAAATGCCATTATTTATTTTGATGTTTTCAAAGATCAAAACATTTTTCAAACACAACTAAGATATAAAATACAGCATAAAAATGAGGTTTATACCTATTCCCACATAAAGCTAAAGCATTTTCAGAAACCATTTTGCCAAACCAATGTGTAGACCATTTTTTTTTTCCTCCCATCCCAGGCATAGCCCACAAAGTTGGTAGATGATCCAGGGCACACTTGGGATGGAGGCCACTGCTGGGAGGCATGCACTTGCCTCCTAGGGTCTGCCCCATTCCACAAATTGGAATGTCATGGGGCTGTCACTGCAGGTAACAAAGCAGATGGGTGTTCACTGAGGCAGCTCTCCTTGTCAAGGGACTAGATGTTAAGGAAATGTCATGGCCTGAGCCAATGCTGGAACGCACATGGGGAGGAATAGGCAGGCCATAAGGCTGCAGAACATGGACTGGGTGTTGAGAAGTGGATTCAGAGCCAGAGAGGCAAGGGGAAGAGGCAGGATTGACCCAAGGTGACTCGGAGGACACAGTCCTGCCTACCCAGCTGATGCCAGAAAGGAGGACCTCCAGGACTCTGCACCCAAGGGTGAAACGAGCTGCCAGCTCCCCTCCAGGGGTTCTAAGCCTGCCTACCTATTCCCTCCAATAGACCTGGGGAAGGTCCAGGAGGAGCCCAATTACCCTCGTGGCACTACCATGAAGATTAGCAGGACCACAACATTAGACATCCCCCCACACCCCCCAAAAAGAGAAACACGGTGTAAGGCAATGTTAGAAAACTTTAAATACAGGACTGAGATCAAATTGGTAAGGCATCACAAATTGTAAAAAGTATCCTAGCTGCACCCAGCAGAGCAAGTTGACAAAAAACTGAGCAAGCAACAGCCTCAGGGAAATGGTGGCGTCGGGGCTGTTGATGGGGAAAACTCAGCCTGAAACAGGGAGCTAAGCTGGGGGGAGCACTGCCGTGGGGGTCCAGGCCTGCTCTGAGAAGGTCAAGTGTGAGGTAACTGGGTTGAGCCTGGGTGTCTTCAGTACTGGGGCTCCTCACTTCTGGGCCCCATGGCATTACTACTCCCCAGGCTGGTTCCTTGGTGGGCCATCCCATGAGCAGCTTGCTCTCCTGCCCTTCCCACCACCAAGCCTGAGAGGATCACAGTACCCAAACCAGCAGCTTTCCAAGAACTTCCCCACCCTGACCCCATTCCATCCCTGCTTAGAGCCATGAAAATTCACAGGGTACCTTTCACCCAGTAAACAGCATTCAGCCAGCTGGCATCAATTACTTGGGCCAGCAGTAGCAGCCACATCTCCAATACTGTACTGTTCTCTAGGCTTGAGGTTTCTCTAACATTTCCACTGATCCTATAAAATACAGGGGCAGAAGCAATACTGGGGCCACTG